TATAGTCAGTCAAAGCTGCCTATAGCAGCAGTTGACACTACGCATGGGCAATATTACGGTAATACCGTATACACCCGGTGTTGAAAAAAAGTAGCAACAGTGACAGTTCCAATCCCGTCATGAAAAAAAAACTGCACGTAGGAGACACTGATTAACTCATTCACTGCCATTGACGACTAAAGTCGTCATTTTAGATCCAACCGTTCACTGCCAATGACGACTAAAGTCGTCATTTGCATTTTTTTTACTGTTTGAGCATCGGAACGAGCCCCCGCGCTGAGAGAACAAACATCTCAGCCCTGAAGCCGATCTTCATCCGCATACGTCACATGATCAGGAAGCAGAACATCCATGTGTTAGGAGATCGTTTTGAGCCGTTCCTGTAAAAAAAGTGAGGTGCGAACCGGAAAAGCGTCTGCCGATCACAATTCGACAACGGATTATGAAAGAACGGATAACGCTCGAAACACACGACTTCTTCCTGATGTAAGAGGTGAGTCTCCTCTTTGTTTTGGTTGTTTTGGCATCGAAATCATGCTAGCGCGCAACGTTCTGTGACTCTTAAAAAAACAGTAAAAACGGTGAGAAACGCTGGCAGTGAAGGCTGTTAATGATCAGGAAACGGCTGGCAGTGAATGAGTTAAAAATAACAATACATAAAAAAACGATAAAAGTCATTTAAAGGTCCACTACTGTACTACCAGTTGACTAATCTGGTCCCAAACCTACTGATGTGGTTTAGTTCGACAATTCACCCAAAATCCATTCAATCATAGAGCTTTTGCCTATTAGAAATATTACCTGATCAAGTTATCAACATGGGGAAAGGAAAACAATTAAGTCTTCTTCCTTCTGCCCTCTTTCACCTCCAGCTGTCTGTTTTCATACCTTCACACTTCATGTCACACACCATCATACATTGGTTCTCATTGGGCCCTCATCTCATGTGATTTTGAATAGAAGTGTGTGTGTGTGTGTGTGTGTGTGTGTGTGTGTGTGTGTGTGTGTGTGTGTGTGTGTGTGTGTGTGTGTGTGTGCGCGTGCGTGCGTGTGTGTGTGTGTGTGTGTGTGTGTGTGTGTGTGTTTCCTCACTGCACCTGCGACATCAGGTTTGCCGTGTTGCCTCTCCTCTTAATTATCCAACAGAATAAGTACCACCTCTCTGGAAAAACGTTCACTTCTCATTAACAAGGTAACAGCGTTATCAAGCTAATTGTGCCACTGAGAGGAAATCACTTTTTTTTTTTCTTGTTGTAGCCGAAGCTTAGAAAGGTTAGAATTATTAAAAAATTTCACCAGGTGGTAATGCTTGTCATAATTTTTTTTCCAAAGTGTCACGTCTTCAGCTGTGTCACCTGTGTCATTCTGAGGGTGAGAAGGATATTGTGTCGTTAGGATTTAGCACCTGAAGCTGAAGTCATTACAGTCATTAGATTTCAGCAGAACTGCTGCCATAAATTCTAAATAATGACTAAATTAGAGCATATGAAATCTTGTTAAAACTAGCCGGAGCTGTCGCTCCATAATGGTCGACAACTCTGGTTTGTTTGTGATTAATCAGAAGCAACAGACGTTTGTCAGACTGGCGTGGCTTTTCTTTTCTTTTTTTTTATGCGTCGCCACACGCTTTATGATTACTGTACATCAGGCTAAACTAGCTCGTTCATCATCTTACATCACATTACCTTGTGGCCCGTATTTGTACGAGGGCAGATGGTGGCAATAGTGAGTGTGTGTTCCGTGCACAGCCACATCCGTGCACGTGTCTGAGTACGTAGGCGCTCGCACTCTGTCTCCAGAGATGTAACACAGTGCCACATGCCAAGCTTGCTGAGCTCTCACAGCTGGCAGCGACCAAGCAGTTGGTCCCTTCGGACAAGTTGCCCCCTGCGCCAGGACAAACAGGAAATGCGCCCCGGGGCTTGGCAGGAAACGACTCTCAGGCCAATAGAAAGGGAGGCGAGGAAGCAGGGAGGGGAGCGAATCAGGATAACAGCTTGGGAGAAGCAGGGTAGCAACAGAAGAGAGGGCAGAGATGTGACGAGTGCAAGGGAGGAGGCACAGAAAAGGGGAAAAAATGAATGCACAGGAGAAATCAAAAGATCACCAGGGAAAAGTTGGGGGATCGTGCGACTCAGTGTAGAAACTTTGGATATCAGTTTGAATTATTGTATGAAATTACTGATTAGGTTACTTTCAAACAATTACATTCTCAAATCAATTTTCTTGTCAAAGAGGCTCATTTTCCTGTTTGTCACTTCTGGTCTGCAAGGCTGCGGTCTGTTTGCTCAAGCTTTTTGGTCAGTTTGATCACAAAATGCTATTTTGGTCTCTTTGTTCGTCCATGTCAAACATGTTCTCGTCTCCTGCCGAGGCGGATGTCCGTATCTGCTCCCTCAGAGGATCTTTGGCGAATTATTTGACTGAGGGTAATTACAAGGCTGCACCTAAGGCACATTCAAGCTGAAACACCCCCACCCCCCAAAAAAGGTGTTCAAGCTTCGCTCTAAATATAACCTAAGAAATTCTCCTTCAAAAGGAGTTCACTTTATTCCTTTTAAGGGGTTCAGAGGTCAGCTTTTACAGTTTTTTGGAGTCAGAGGTTTTAATGATCGTGTTCTAATGTGTTTAAAATAGATGTTCTACTTGTAAAGGTAGTTAGAGATTCATAGAAGTACCTGGCTAAAAAAACATGACCATAAAAAGTATGGAGCACTGATCCACATGAAGCTGGATTTTTCCCTTGATGACCACAGGGGGCAGTGTTAGCCCACCATCCATCCAGACTGTCCAGAGCTGTCTCTCCTCTTCCGCAGCTTCTCCTCCTCCTCTCAGCCCTTTCTCTAGTGTGCCCTTGTTATTGTGATGAGCTCTGCCTAATTCCATTGCAACCACTGGACACTTGGAAGCCGTCCCTTCTAATCTGTTCCTGAGTCAAGGCCGGGTTTGGGACTCTGCCCGACAGCAAGGCCATGAGCACGGCGAAGACTGATTTGAGACTTTGGGATCCTCAGGGTCTCCTGAAACGCTGGAGCGGTGGCACTCTCGCTGCCCTGTTAATCAGCAATGACACCACGTGAATTGCCAGTCAGTCTGTTTGCAATTAATCTTTTCAACTGCAGATTTAATGGCGTCAGCGACTCAGGGTTGCTGCGTACCGTAGAGGTGGACTCGTATTTATGTAATATTGTCTTCCACATCGCGTTGGAGGAGATATAAAATCAAAAATTCAGCCTAAATTGATCAGATGGTGGCTGCTTTTGCTTCTGTGCCATTTTGTTTTCAACACAGCGTTTAGATCTCGTTGATTGTCTTTGATGTTATCTTTGGCAACAATTCAACTAAATTCCCATTCATCAGCTGGCTGCCATTGTTCTCGTCTTTTGGATGACCTCTCCTTCTCCGTGCTCTTTTTATGTTTAGATCTCATTTCAAATACGATTTATAAGATTGAATCTCTGCATGTTTGCACAAGCAATGCGTTTTATAAGTACACTGACATCTAATCACAGCACGGCCCCCCCTGACCACCACCGCATGCCATATTAAAGATCGGGCAGATATGTCGGCAAAATGAGATTTTTTTTCTCTTTGCATCTGGCCTTTCTGACGGAGTGAACAGTCGGACTGAAATGAGGGAACAGTAGCCTTTGCTCAAGATTCTGTCCATCTTTACCTGACTTGGAGCAGACAAGATAATGATGAAAGTGCACACACACACACACACACACACAAAAGCATTCAGTCTAGCTGCTACAAGCTTTGTAGTCGTGGCTCACTGCCAGCTCCCTGTCCGTCTTTTCCTGTCCATCTGACTGAGCATGCTCATTAGAACCTTGACAGCATTCCACAGGGGTTGCCAAAGATACCAAGCAGAGATGCCAAGTTTTGAATTTGTGGTCAGATATCTATTAAAAATGCAGCAACTCACATAAATACATGAAAAGTGTTTGTTTCACGACCACACACACACACAAAGGCACATGCTTTGCTCTTGTCTCTTTCGCCTGCTCTCTTCCTTTTTTTCCTTCCCTCTTCTCTCCAGATCATTGTTAATCAGTCTCGTCCCATCTTCTCTCCGCTGCCTGTCAGTGGCTTGTCAGAAGCCCGTCAGAGCCCCTGCAGTCCGTCACACACTGCTGCCGTTAATGACATCTGATGACACCCATCGCTGAAGTCACCCACTGGAGATGACTGGGGACTCTGTCTGCTTTGAAATGATTTCTTTAGTTCAGTCCTCCGCGTGCCTCGGGATACGTTTAAACCCAGCTTTGCTTTTATTTACTTGCAGACAGTCGATATTCCACCCTGGAAGCCCAACTTTTAGACCACTTATTCAGTGGGAAGGTGCTAAACGAAAAACCGGGCTATGTTCAAAACTGTAAACGAAGCTTTAAAGGCTTGCTGTGTTTCCAGCTGGTAATTTAGCATCAAATGTCGAGCATAGCTTAGTTTTTTTTTCTTTAAAGTTATTTTTTGTCACTGGAAAATGTTAAATACATTCAGTCTTGGATACAGAAACGGTGCTCAATTTTCTTTTCATTCAAACGCCTTGACATTTTCTAAATGTTCAAAACAGCCATAAGTAAGGTTGAGCCGTTGTTTTAAATAGATGATTATCATTCAGCTGCTCTATTAGTCTCCTATTTACCACCCTCCTTATGTCCGTTCTGTGCAGCATCTTTGTTCCTTTCTCTCCAGCTCTTTTGTATCAAACCCCATTACCTCCCCACTTGCTCCCACTCTCCCTCTTGAATTCGGCCTCTTCAAACACCTGTAACCCGCTCGTCTGAATGGCGGTCTTATGACAGAGCTCTTGCTGTGCCGGATGCCTTGATTTGCACTCAATCCTTCTTTATTCTTACTTTCTCACACAGCATTTCTTGAACTTTCACTCCACTTTCCTTTCACCCGTCTCCCTGGCTCATTTCCTGTCCATCTCTTCTTTTCTGCAAAGCAAATTTCTTACCCTTTCATTGCTCTCGTTCTCTGTTCTCTAGAGGAGGAAGTGGAGAACTTTGACGTGTCCAGCCTTGAGGAAGAGGCTCTCAGAAACATCGAGGCTGACAGCTTCTGGTGCATGAGCAAGTTGTTGGACGGCATCCAGGTAAGCTTGAGTGCATGTTAGGAAGATGAATGAAGTCAAATCAACTATTAGGTTTAATTCAACAACTTTAAATTCTAAAATACAGAGCTGTGAAAGGGTTACGGTTTTCTCTGTTTTTGCTCTTTTGTCACATCAAATTTGTTTCAGAGCAGCAAATAAATCAATGTTAGGGAAAGAAAACCTGAACCAATAGAAAATGCAGTTATGAAATCCAAACCAACCTAGCTCTATGTGAACATCATATTCCCCTTAAACATAATGAAGGTTGTAATATCCTTTTATGGTAGCAACTACAATCATAATTATGTGATACCTGGTAATGAGTCTTTTACATCACTGTGTAGGAAATTTGGCCCACTCTTTCTTCATTGTTGTAATTCAGCCCTATTGGAAGGCTTTCCAGCAGTTTAAAGGGATACTAGACAGCTTTGGCTTGCTTTTAGGGCCCACCAGTGTTCCGTTCTAAAACTGAATCGTATCTCCTCGCAGTGCGTTCGTCTTTTTAATACCCTAATCCAACTGCAGAAATGTGTCCTCAGCCTTCATTATTGTCTACAGGTGTGATTGATGACTAAATCAAACAAATCAGCTGTGTTCATGATCTAAAATATGCAAGAAATGTGCTGGAATCAGACTCTAGCACCAGGTATGTCAGATCCACTTTTATCAAGTCCAGCAGGGACCGGACCGGCATTCTAAAGTTACAAGTGTGTTATTCTGGCCACAGAGGACAGTGGTTGGTCACTTTAGCACATACTAGCTCAAGAAAATGATTTTAAAATATGAACACGTTGCATTGTTTCCCTTTGAGGTCAAAGGTCAGATTTTCTTCAGGATTTTCTACCAGAGAGCAGTATTTATGGTTTCATCAATTATAGTAATTCATCCACATCCTGAAGCAGGACAACAGCCTCAGACCATCCCACTACCTCCACCATGTTTGACAGTTGATCCAGGTTTATAATGCGACACCTTCCCAAAAGTTTTCTACTTTTATTCCATCAATCCACAGAATATTTCACTGAAAATCTTGGGGGTAATCAATTCTGTGCTTTATTGTTCTTATTTTTAGCCTTCAGAGGTTTTGGCCTTGGGATTCTCCATGGATCTGCTATTTGAGGCTGATCATGTCCTTAGCAGCCCATTTCATTCAGCATCACATTAAATAACCAAATGTCCTAATTAAAGATAGGAAACAAGTGCGCAGTATCAACTGTCGTAACTTGGAAAAAACAGATGGATCTTTTGTGTACTCCACCGCCTTCGGCATGAATTTCATAATCTTACATGCTCTAAAGCAAGCCTGCGTGTCTACAGCGCAGAAAAATACATACTGAGCGCAGCACTAAACTTCCTTTTGTTTCATCGCTTCATCCCAAAGCCTTTTGGCCACCAGCTCTGCTAATCGACCTGGCTCTCAGCGGTCATGGTCGAGCCATCTGTCAATTCCAAATATGCCTGCCTGCGCTGATGGTAGATCCAGCAGCACTACTGTTACTAAGCTCCCTCAGTTTTGCCTCTATTTATAAAATGTGTCATCAAACATCAGATTTACAAAAAGTGGTGGTATCCTTTGAGGTGTCAATTAAAGGGCCTGCATGTAGTACTTAAAATAATAAGCAGGTGGGGTAGGATTTTAATTAATTAGGAATTCTGTATTTACCTAAGTACAAATAAGAGGTTAAAAACACCCTGAATTATGGTAGGGCAGACTTAGAGGGTCCTGTTTATGTTGCTCTAATGGCTGCATTATATCTGTGCTCTAAGAATACCATATAGCTGTGCACCAAAGGTAATTAATACTTCAGAGCTTGTGCTGTGCATAAAATGTGAGCATCCTTAAATAACTGTTAACCAGTTGGTAGGCATTTCATTCAGGAAATTAATAGTGGCTGCACCTTGTTGCCCCTGAGAGAGGAAGGAAGAGGGAAGCGAGTGCTTGAGAGCAGAGGAAGTAAGACAGAGGAGGAATAGTGTGTGTGTGTGTGTGTGTGTGTGTGTGTGTGTGTGTGTGTGTGTGTGTGTGTGTGTGTGTGAGTGTGAGTGTGAGTGTGTGTGTGTGTGTGTGTGTGTGTGTGTGTGTGTGTGTGTGTGTGTGTGTGCGCGCGCACACTGTTGTTCACCCCATGGTTGTTTGTTTATGACCTTGGCTCCAAACTAATTATGTTCAATGCACCAGAGAGACCCGTGTGTCCCCCTCCTAATACTTCCTAAACAATCTTAACAGAAGCTGAGTGTTTCAGCTCTGTAATTAGCTGCAGACCTTTGAGCTGACCTGGTCTCCAACACTCCCACATCCACTATCCACAGTAACACTAAACTGACTCTGGCTGACCAGTAGCATGTGATCGCTAACCTTCGAGCTTCTCATATGTCCATTATGGCCCATCTAAGTGGTGTCATAATGGTGTCCTTTTGTTTTGGATCAACTGATGTAACACAGAAATGATTTCATTTGCATAAAAATGAAGAACAAAGCTGTAAACGGGATGTTTGAAAGCCACTCAGTTGTCTGGAAATTTCTCAAACTGTGATGCACTTTTTCCTGCCCTTTTGTAGATGAGCCACGGTTCGCGGGCCGTTCTTCTTGGTTCGCATAATCACCTGGTAGATTGTGGACGCACACTCCTTCTAGCGCTCAGATTTTCTTATTTCTTCATTACAGGAAATTGTTCATTAGCTCTGGTTTTAGTGTTTCACAGCTAAACTTCTTTTTTAAATTTTTTTTACCTAAAAGGGAACATTTTGGCTGTCTGTTCACTTAAGCTGCCTCTTTAATGAGCTGCTGCTTTAATTGGCAGCTTCCATCCCCTTAAGAAAAAAAGGAGGAACAACCTAAGGCCTTCTGGACTAAAAGTTTCATGCAATTTTATTTTCTGTGTTGACAAATTGGACAGTATTTTCTGTAATAAATGTGACCTTCTTGTTAGTGGATGTGGGAGTTTACACTCTGTACAGAGTTTATATGTTGATTCCCAGTTAACCCTTTGTTAGAGAACATTTCAGTTCCTGTGTCTGATAAATGCATGCACTGAAAGTCACATAAAAGCAACTCAACAAACAAAATCTAGGAAAAAAATGTATAGATACATAAATTAAAATGTACATTATCATTAGCTAAATAATAAAATTCTTCTTTTGAAATTATTTTCTTGAACGTTTAAAAATGTTGTTGCTTTAATTTAAAAAAAAGTTTTTCATTGCTTTTTCTTGTGGCCACTGCAAGGTCAAAGAATATTTTTATGTGAGGTTTATGTATTCCAAAATAAAGATTTTCAAGGTATCCTCAGACACACTGACTTTGTGGAAATTGAAAATATTGTGGTCTAAATAAATGTAAATTGTTAAACAAAAAATTAAGTATTATGCTTGACAATACTGTTCTCACATTTTGAACAGGCTAGAGATCCGATTTTAAAAGTTACTATATAAGATACAAGCCTTTACAAGTACATCAGTAGTGTACTTCAAGGTTGTCATCACCTTGCAAGTGCTGCCAGGTCCTAGACAAAAAAAAAATTGCACTTGCCAATTGAAACACGCACAGAGCGCTTGTATGTTGATAACAAATGAACAAACAAAATTCAAACTTTTATGTTCAAACAGGTACTTAATACTCAAGTAACATTTTCTCAAAATACATTTATTTTTACTTTCAGGTAATTATTTGTGTTGATGCTTTTTAAAATTCCACTTACCTCTGGTCAAAAGCATTTTGTATCTACGTTTGGTTGGCCCCTTTGTTCACATCGTTCACTGCCTTTTGGATAACTCCTCATCTGTGAGAGTTGCTAGTATTGGTTCATCATTCTTGGACATAGAACCTTTCCCACCAGAAATATTGAAGTTTAAGTACCTTACAGTGACACAATTTTGTGCAACATAGAACAAAAAATTACTTCCATCCATCCCTCCCTCCCTCCCTCCATCCATCCATCCATTCATCCATCCATCCATCCATTTTCATCTGCTTATCTGGATTCGGGTCGCGGGGGCAGTAGCCTAAGTCGAGAGGCCCAGACTTCCCTCTCCCCAGCCCCTTGGGCCAGCTCCTCCAGGGAAATCCCAAGGCGTTCCCTGGCCAGGTGAGAGACATAGTCCCTCCAACGTGTCCTGGGTCTACCTTTAAGCCTCCTCCCGGTTGGACGTGCTTGGAAAACCTCACCAGGGAAGCATCCAAGAGGCATCCTGACCAGATGTCCGAGCCACCTCAACTGGCTCCTCGCGATGTGGAGGAGCAGCGAATCTGCTCCAAGTCCCTCCCGGATGACTGAGCTTCTCACCCTATCTCTAAGGGAGAGCCTAGCCACTCTTCGGAGAAAACTCATTTTGGCCGCTTGTATCCGCAATCGTTCTTTCGGTCACTACCCAAAGCTCATGACCATAGGTGAGGGTAGGAACGTAGATCGACCGGTAAATCGAGAGCTTCGCCTTCTAAGTCAGCACTCTCTTCACCACGACCGACCGGCACAATGCCCCCATCACGACAGATGCAGGACCAATCCGCCTATTGATCTCACGCTCCAGTTTTCCCTCACTCTTGAACAAGCATTTGTCATTTTTTTTGTTAATCTCATACAAGAAATCATCATTCTTCCAAAAAAAGTCATTAATACAAAAGGATTTGCAGTTTGCCAAACTTTGCTGTATAGGTTTATGTCTTCCACACGCGTCCAGCACGAGTTTCCTTTTAACCTGCAATCCTCAGCCTGGGAAATGAAGTCAAAAATTTTCAAAAAGTCCATTATGCTGCCAGCTCACCCCTGAGGGCTCTAAGTTTTTAAAGCCAACAGATGAAAACCTGCCTTTTATGCTAATTTAGCTGGTATGTCTTTTACAACAGGAGCTGTTGAATGTATTTTTCCTGCCCCGGATCCAACTTTGAGAAATGTAATTTTTGCCCAGGGATCTGAACTTTTTTTTTTTCCAACGCTAGTCTTTTGGTTGAAGTCCAGCACTTTGACATATTACTCCTCTAGATGGTGCAGACCTGGTAGGAG